TTGCATTTCATTAATATATATATACATATATGCATATTAAATATCAATGAGCTCATATCACACATTTAACTGCGTTTGCTTGACTTTTTGAAATAAATATCAAGTTGCCATATATATATTTGGAATTACCTCTTTTTCCATTAAGAACTGCTTTTTATTTATGCAATATTTATTCCATTTTTAATAGTAATGTATTAAAGCAACTATATTTCATTTGCTATAATTTACTTTTTGAGTAACCTTCGACATCTTTTCGCGTTTTTTACGATATTAAAATTAATTTTATTTTATGATTTATTTCTTTTAAATATATTTTATAATATACAATATTATATAAAAAAAAATGCATTAATTAAAAAAAAAATTATTATTTTCTTATATTATATACATACAGAAACAAATGCTGGCTGGAATAATTATAGTGCATAATGGTAATTAAAACGCTCAAAAACTAGCCAAATTTAATTATAAAAGTATTTCCGCAAAATGTTTTGATTTTCACTAAATATTTCCTCTAATTATTTCCTTTAAGTATTTCGTCTAAGTATTTCGTCTAAGTATTTTCTCTAAGAGTTTCCACTACGTATTTTCTTTAAGCATTTCTTCCAAGTCTTTCTTCTAAATAATTCTTCCAAGTCTTTCCTCTAAGTCTTTAATGCTTAGCTGAACGATCATTAAATATTTACGCACACTACTTCAATTCACTTTACTGCACTGCCCGACTGACCCCAACAGGCCTGAGCGACTGAAGAAATGCTGCAGCAGCTGCCCTATATATAGGAAGACTTTCTCACACACACATAGTTGCGCTCAAATTTTGAGCCAATTGGAGGTCGTTGCAGTCGAGATCTAAGTGTCCAATGAGAACACTCTCTGCTGCTGCAAGCACTCTAGCTTCGTTTTACACAACTAATACGATATTCTGTAGTCTCTTCAATTTTATAGGCATACACTCAGAGAAACAAACGGAGAGACAGGCTCTGAAATAGACAGTGAGACAGACAGAGAGACAGATATACTAACAAATATATAGGCAAACAAATACGTAAAAATGTTGATATGCATTAAAATATATAATTAATAAATAAATGCTGTTGTCTTTTGGTTCATCGTGTTGAGTCGCATTTAAAATAAATAAATATCGGATTTATTATTCTAAAAAATATATATGCAGAAACAAATATTATTACTAAATAATGATGAATTTAATCTGTTCAAAAGCAAGCAAATTTATTGAGCTGATATTTGTTTTAGAATATATAATATACATATTGGGCTTTAATTTAATTTTAATTATTAATAAAATATATTTTATTTTTAACTAATATTTTCTAAAAAAATATTTAACAAAAAAATTTTATTTTATTTTATTTATTTTTTTTTTTTTTTAACCTGAGATCCATTTTATTAAAATTTATTTTAGACAATATTATGAAATACATAAATATTAATAAAAGAGTGTCTTCTTTGTTGTCCGTAAAAACATTATATATAACACTAATAATAATAATAATAATTTTAACGAATATTGTATTTATACACCAACAATAATTAGCCCTCAGCCCCATCCCCCATAGCTAAATAAATTCCGACACACATTGCCCTCAGCTCTTATCGCCTTTGTAATCTAACCGGAACGCCGCTCAACGACTTCAGTGTGATGGGCAAGTGCAGCCGCAATTCCTGCGGACCCGGCATATACGTATGATCGAAGACCTGCGCTATGGTCTGCTTGGCCAGGGGAGCGGGCAGAATATGGAAGCGCCGCAGCAATTTCGACAGCGTCACCTTCAGCTCCAGTAGAGCAAACTTTTGACCTGTCAATGGCTGGTTAAGTAAAAGTGACGTATCATACAGATGAAAGCATACCGATGCAATTTCGGGGGCCCGCACTGAAGGGCACATTGTCGAAGGCATTCGCCTTTGTTCGCTCAGCTGCCTCAAAGCGTTCCGGGCGAAACTCGTAGGGCGCCTCGAAGCTGTGCGGACAGTGGCCAATGGCTAGAATGGGCAGTCCAATTGTCGTGTCCTTGGGCAGATGCTTGTCCACTGTGGAGTAGATAGCTGAGCATTGAGTGGACAGAGGCCTAAGCCTTAAGCACTCACGTATTGTTGTTGCTTCGCGCATTGTGCGAAAGATGAACGGGACACTGGGAAACAAGCGTAATGTTTCCTTGATGACGAGATCCAAGTACTTCATGTCCTGCAGCTCCTGGTGGGTGGGATCACGCTCCCGTCCATCTGCAGTGGCGTACATTCGCGCCTGCTCCTCATAGGCACGTTGCTGCGCATCGGGCGACCAGGCCAGGCACCAGATGGCAAAAGTGATGGCCGAAGCAGTTGTATCATGGCCCTAAGGATTTTAAATAATTTATTATAATATTTATTTTATTTTAATTACGTGAAAAACTAGCTAGTTTGGTATTTAATTTTTATATATTTATTCTTGTTATTATTATTATTATTATTATTATTTTTTTTTTTGTTTTTTTTTTTTTTTTTTTGTTTAATTATAATAGAACTATATATAAAACATGAAATTTGTATGGCCACATTTATATCAAATAAAAGGCGACACTTAGCCACTAATTAATATTAAAATAATAATTAATTTTAAGTAATAAAAAAATTGTGTGATATTATTATCTATAATATAAAATAAAAATATTTATTAAAAAAACTAATTATTTATGCATTTAATTATTTAATTAATTCAGAGAATAAATTCTAAAGAACAATTTAGTTAGCCAGAACAATAAAGGCCTTTTAATTTATTTATTGCTCTTACAGCAATTATTACTCATCACTGTAAAATGCATTCCAATAGTTTAGCAGTGTTCACTTTATTGTTCGCATTGAGCTCTCACAATTTAATATAGGCGAGCGCAAGCGATAATGATTGTCGTGATGTCACGATTAACTATAGTCAATCTACGAGCATCGAGCATAAATAAACCGAAGGTGAGTTTCTCATTTCGGTCGGAACGACGAGCGCAAGCTAAACATGATCAAAACAATGTGAGATCGCTAGAAACATGTAGAGCATAGAGAAAAAATTTAACGAATTAAGGCAACCTGTTTATCTCTTGTCTCTATTAATATAATAAACGTAGAATTGTAACTGGGCCCAACATAACTAGTTTATATGTATATATGATATTATATTGATTTAAATTAATTCCATTAAGCAAATTAATTTAAATCTATTTATTTTTTTATATAATATAATATATATATTATTTATTATGTATATCAATATATGCACATTAATATACATTTTTTATAATATGCATATTATATAAATATTAAATATTAACGATTAAATATAATATATATTCCCATGTGCTTACTGACTTTACTTAATTTTAATATCCATATTAATTTTAATTTATTAAATTTCTTTGAATTAATTTATTAATATGCTTATATAATCACGGCATATCAATTATAAATTTCTTATATTTTTATTTTTAAATCGATCCCAACTTACCTCAAACATGAACGTGGAGACTTCCTCAAATATTTCCTCAAATGTCAGCGGTTTACCATCCACCTCGGCAGTCAGAAGATTGTCGAGGAAAGCCATTTTGGGTCGTTTGGCGTCCAGCAGGTCATCGTCCAACTGTGGGGCCTCATAGCTGGCTGCTTGAAGCAGGCGACGACGTTGCTCAATGATCTATGCAAACAAATGAAAAATACTTGAGTCCGAGGCCTTTGGTAGGCTTCCATCACTTGCCAACCTGAGCGAACTCAGTGCGCAGTGTCATCAATGCCTGCTGCTGTTGCTTGTATAGCCGGGTGCACTTGAAGAAGCTGTCGGAGCGCTTAAACAGCGAGAAGACGCGCTCGGAGATGATGTGACAGAGGCTGTCGATGGCGCCCACAATCGGCGAAGGTCGTCCCTCAATGCTGTTCACACGAGTGCCCATTGCCGTCTCTGCAGCAGGTGAGCGCGGATAACAATGGAATATTGACTGGAGTTGAGTTGAGTTGAGTTGAACCGCACTCACCACAAATGACATCAATTGTGTTCCGATTGACTAGCGCCTGCACATCGAACGCAGCGCCTTGAGCAGCCTCCGACTCATGCTCCAGCAGCTTCATGAAACGGCCGCTCGTCTCGTTCATAATGTGCAGAAAGTCCCTCAGGATGCGGAAGTGAAATGAAGGCGTAATCAGCTTCCGCCGCACTGCCCACTGATGGCCATTGCCAGTGAGCAGGCCGCTGCCCAGCCACGGATAGAGCAAGTTGTACGGCTCATACTTGTAGGTCAGAGCAGTGCTGCTCAATATATGCTAAGGCGAACAGAAGTCAAAAGGATATACATACATACATATATAAAGCTTATTTGATTTGCTTACCTCCACATAGTTGTTTTCCACAAACATGATATACGGCAAAGGCCCAGCCCAAAGGCATATGTTTTTGTAGTTGTATTGCTTGAACCATTTCAGCAGGGTTCTCAAATAAGCTGCGATCAGTAGTGAGAGAGAGAGAGAGAGAGAGAGAGAGAGAGAGAGAGAGATTTAATGAAACTTGTCTATAAAGAAACCGATTTACGATCGATTTAACCTAGTCAAATCTTTCCATCTGTCCGGTGTACGTCTCAAATTATCTTTAGTGCCTCGTAAAAATGAGCTCAACACACGAAAGGTGTTTGAAGTCGTTGCTCAGTTTGTAAAATGCTAATCACCAAGCATTTCGATTAATGGACCTGCAGTGTGACTGAAGTCGGCAGCCAAGTCAGAGACTGATTGGCTAGAAGATACCCTAATATCTCTGTAATGAGCTGATATTCATTTAAATTGTAAACAGTCAGGCGGACGAACAATCGCGCATTAGATCGGCTCAGCTCGTCGCACTGATCAAGCATGGACATACTTTATGAGATTATGTTCACAAAACCAATATACCCTGATTTCACACAATCAATGAGTATGAAAACCCGGAACAACACCGTCAATAATCATTATGAAAATTAAATTTAGAATATGTAACATTCTCATTTGAAAGTTTTTATTTGTTCTGCTCGCTTTTATATTCAATAGACATCCTATTGAATCTTTAATAAATCATAGCTGATTAACCAAATATTGTTTTCCTCACAATTTGGCCCTCGGGTGCTGGAGGATGTGCAGCAATATAAGCCAGAGCGCGCTGGATTTCGATTGGCACTGGTGGGGGAGTGGGCAGAGCGTCGCCCTGTGGCTGATAACCGTTCTCATCGGCGACATACGTTAGAGAGACGGGCACACCTTCGGGCGAGACCCAGCCGAAGGAGCCGTGGATGTTGCCGTAAGCATCGCCGCTGGCGGCGCCACGGATAGAATTGGAGGTCTCCAGGCTTGTGTCGAATCCATCGGGGCGCACATCATCCGTTCGGGATAGCACAACGGCGCTCACATCATCACTTCTGACTTGGGGAACTCCCACCCGTGTGGGAGGACGAGCCAGGCTTCTAAAGATAGGTGATTTAAGCGGCGAGCCGCAAGCCACGCCCAGGATGACGGAAATCATCACCTACAAGCAGTGCTTATTAACCAGAGCTAATCCCAGACACTCGGCTACTTACGGCTTGGAAAACAATCATTTTTGGTTTCTTGAACATATTTATTTATTTTTATTTTTGTCGTCGTAGAACACAGAGAACGATCGTTGACTGATGCCGCTGTGGAGCCCAGCGATGGCTTTTATACAGCGACAGCTTTGGCTGGTGGCCACTGAGAGACCAGTTCAGGCGCATCAGTCAATTATGGCTGTGAGTTATGGGTTTCACAGCCACGCCCACATTAACAAATTAGCGAGCTCGAAAATGCTGATATAGTGTTCAGCACTGGGATGGATTGAGCTCCAAAGCTCGCTCGCTCGCTAACTCGTTCGCAATTTGTCACAAAGCCGAGCTGCTTAGCATGAAATACCAGACAAATTAGACCAGACCAGACCAATTCATAATGATTTGCCATTCAAAATGTGATCTCAAAGGCGATGCTCAGCGAAAACAAGTTTGACACACATACCGAATTAATTTGATTTTATTTGTTTTCCGCCCAAATATAAAATATAATCAAGCATTTTATATGCTAATTTGAGCAACTATACCATAAAGCAAATCAATTTAAAACATTTTCTTTGGCTACTTTTGTTTTCAATATTGTCAAATGGCTTGGTTTTCGATGCCCGACTCAACACATATCTTCTGGACTTGTTAAGTGCCTTTGGCTTCCATTTGAGAACCGGTTATGATGATTTGATCATAAATGATCATAAATGCTTTGAATCTGCTTTTAGTAAGATTTTCGGTGCAGGCGGATTTTTAAAGATTGCACTCAGCCGTGGCTTTTGGCACTTTGAAATAAAATTAAACTAAACTAAAATAAAACAGAAATTTCTTGAGTCATTGCTAACCTGTTTCGATTATAATAGAAATGAGCTAGGGATTGAGTTATTGAGTTTCGTATATATAAATATTTTACTGAGCGAAGAGCTGCACATTCACACAGCTCGCAAATATTTCTTTTGAATAACTTGAACAATGTGCCCCATATATGATATTTTGATCTCATCTTATTATGTTAATGGCCTTGATAATACAATTAGATATGTTTTATAAAGTTTAAGGTGAGCAAACATATCAATGCAAAAGGCGTTTGTGTATAGTCTTGATAGATTTTTAAATATTTGAAGCAGCTTGAAGCGTATTCAACTCTAGAACTTTTTAACATTGCTGTAGTATCTATAGATCGCTCCTTAGGATTTTTTTTTAAATTCTTTTCTAAAGAGTTAAAATAAGTAAAATAAAATCTATATGCAATTATTATCCTATGTTTAATGGGCAGAAATCGTAAGAATACTTTTTTGTTTATGTGTGTTCGAAGGGATGGGTACAATTTATATATATAATATATATAATATAGAAGGCAAGTGGCCAGTGTCAAGGGGATGACAGATAAAATACTCAGCGAACCAGTGAACCAGTAAGTGAGCTGGTATAACTTACACAGTGTAAGAGTTATACTATTAACATATTGCTGTTAATAGCATAGCATAGTACGGTGCGGAAGGAGCAATTCCTGTTAATTGGATCTGGCATTAGAAATGTGTATATGTATTATATAAGTTTATAGCATAATTATAAGATCTATACACATTTGTTTGTGTGTATTTACCAAAGGATATGCCGCTCCTGAATTCACATAGAACATGGATTCGAGGAAGATCATACAAAAAACAGAAAAACAATGGTATAAACATTACGCAGAGCCAATACGCTCGTTTTATTTCGTGAATAAGTATATTTATATATTTCTTTTATAGCTGTTGCTCTCCTTGAGCTGCTCGTTTGTCTTAATATACTTCCACGATGCAGGCCGAAAAGTAATTCTCGTTTTGTGGCTGTTCAATCAGCGCCAAAGAGTAGGCTACGAATTACTGACTGAATCGACATTAGTATTAAACTTGGCTCTCGAGTTTTTAACGAAAAGTTTCAAGCTGAGCTATGCCAAGAAAGCTTACTTAAGTATTCATTAATTAATTAATAAATTTTGCAGAAATCTAAAATCGATTTTAAATGAACAAATTTGTCAAATAAAAAAAAGACATTCAATTATTGACCTTGATTGAGAATATATTTATATATCCTATAGGATCGCCCGTTTATCCATTTGTACGTTTATAATTTATTAATAAATATAGTTTATGAAATATAAATTAAATTAATCTACAGACTAATAAATTTAGCAAAGCGCAACAAATATATATTTGCATAGAAGAATTTGTTAACAAAATACATATCATCACTTCATACACCCAAATTCGCTAAAGTCTTAAATCAAGATTCCCCCAGAAATGCGCAGCAAATGGCGAAATCGTGTGTAAGGTATGTATAGAAAAAAGTGTGTAGACCTCTTTGTTTTTATAAGTGATTTATACATGACGTAGTGCTGCTAAATTATTGTATTTTTGTATTTGTATTTGATTTGTTTTCATTCCTCTTAGCCGCAACGCTTCGGCGAAACTCAAATTTGGCAAAACAAAGCGCACAACGAAGACGGACTGGAGCTGACTGGTTTGCGGGGTGAGTGACTGGTTTGTAGTGAGTGCTACAGATCTACATAGATATTCTAGATGAGGACAAATGGGTAGCTCATCAAAGCCCGCTTGCATCTAGTTTGGCTATCAACAGCAACAGGCAAAGACGGTAAAGTTTACAGCTTTTAAAATGCAAGGCAAAAGAGATTGAAATATTTTAGAAACAAAAATAGAACAATGATTAAATGAATACAAAAAAAAATATATTCTTATATGTACTATATGACACCTTAAAGCTAAGAGTTAATTTATATGTTTAATGATTTTAAAGAAAGTATTAAATTTTATAGACTAAGTAGAGTTTAAATTAGCTATAGAGTTTAATATATTAAGCTGCAATAATTTCAGCTTAAGTTAAAAAATGTTATCTAAATAATTCGTATGAATTTCTGTTCAGTTTGAGCTTGAACTAAGTAATATCTCGCCTCTTTTAATGCAGATTTAATCTGCCTTAATATGTAGAAATTATTTACTATACATCCTTCAATCCTTAAAAATCTTTCGTACAAGATTCAATATATAGCTGCATATTTTGTGGCGAATTCGAAATAAATAAAGAATATGCTTATATACATATATAATAATATTTATTATAAAACTAAGCAACAAAAAAACCTGAATTGACATGCCCACTTTTTATGAATACACACCTCTATATATCAACATATATATATATATTTGTATATATACAAGCAAATTATGTGAAATTGCGACTTGATCAAAAACAACTGATTTTTTCATTTCTTTTCGGCCAAGTTGTTTGCTAGAAGTTAAACGAGTTTTCTGGGGCAGCACCACCAGTTCTGAGTAGCTATTAATGCAGTTTAGCGATTAAATTCTATAATACATTATAACAGTATTTTGTTATTTGGAACAAATTTGAATATATTGATGCACCAGGCAGAATTCACCCTTGCAGCACTCAGCCGCCTGCCGAGCGAACTGTATAAAAGGCAACGCCGACCCACAGTGGAGCATCAGTCAACGTTCGTTTCACGTTCCATAACTGCATTCAAATCAAAATGTTCAAACTTGTAAGTATTTTTGGGTTTTGGCCTTCGACGAGTGGCAGTGGCCAATTGTTGTGCACCTGTTCCAGGTATTGATCTGCGCTGTTATCGGCCTGGCCGCCGCCTCTCCAGTGGGCCCATTGAGCGACGATGTGCACGCCGAGGTGCTGAGCCGCAAGGAAGATGTTCGCGCTGATGGCTTCGATGCCGTCTTGGAGACCAGCAACCACATCACACGCTCGGAGGTCGGCGATGTTCATGGCAACATTCAGGGCAAATTCGGCTGGATTTCGCCCGAGGGTGAGCACATCGATGTTGTCTATGTGGCCGATGAGAACGGCTATCAGCCCAAGAGCGAGTGGCTGCCAACCTCACCCCCGATCCCAGAGGCAATCCAGCGCTCCCTCGACTGGCTGGCTGCCCATCCCCATGTACCGGAGCACTAATCGGCTATGGAATCGTATATGTTGACTTGCCTCTAGGCCCTCCCCCGATCGTGATAGTCTCTAAGAATTTTCTGCATTGTTGATGACAATTAAAAAAAACTGAAGATTTGTGTTATCAAACAGAATTTTGTTTCATTTATCTGCCGAATATAGACTAGAATTGTGAGTACAGCAGAAAATAGAATTGAGAATAGAATAGAGTGTTAATATTTATAATATATTTAGATAACTTTACAAAGTCAATAGCTTTGGTTATTGGGATTGGGATTGCACAATGATTAAGTGACCTCACTTCCTCATACAGATAGGTTCTTTTAGCAAATGAAGATAAAAACTTTGTATTTAGAACAAATTAGCAATGATTTGAAAGTTTGTCGACCCTTGGCATTCAAAGGCTGCTGCTGCTAAAATATAGCAGTACATGGATAAATGCAATAAATTATAGATATAATCTCTATATCTGATATGTTGGGTATTTCCCTACAACATATGAAATTTTTAGCTAGGAATATATTGCTATAGGCATATATATGCCACGTTATATACAAAATATTTGCTCGTCACAAGATGAAGCTGCAAAAGTTTTTCAAATTTCATGGAATAATAAATTTTATATTAAATAATTAAACAATTTGAGAACCCTAAGATTACGAATCTACATCAAGTCTTCTTCTACATCGTAAAATAGTTTTTATTTTTTATATTTGTTCAAAATTGTGATGCTAGTATATATCGAATGAGTTGAACACTTAATATATAAATATAAATTAAATTAAATTAAAAAATAATAATAATAATTAAAAGTATTATACTTTGATTTCCTCCTTTCAATGTATTATAAAACTTGATTTTATACAAAATAAAATATATAATTATTAAAAATTATATTACTTTCAATATTATCTCTGCATCATATTTTAGATCCCATCACATTTAGATCACATCATTAGAAACAGTTGAACCTGAGCTAAACTGATGAACTAGCGGCAAATACAAAATATTTGTCAGCACCATTCTTCCTCTACTATATATAAGAGTAATTTATCTACAATATCATCTGTTAAATCTCTCAAAATTATATGGCATGGAGCTCGTTTTTATCGCTTGATGTGTGAATTGGATGAATAGTATACAGCTCTCATGGCGTGATTTAAGGCATCGATAATAAAGTCTATGACTAGCGTTGAGGTGAGGTGAACTCGTTTCCTCGTCAGTCGTTGCTGCACTTTAGCATTTAGAATTAGCACAAAAATGGGAGAGAACATCGTCTCTCTAGCTATTCTAACTGGTGGCATTTCTGTGCCACGTCTGGTAGCAACGCTCGTAAAGAGCTGTTAATTATTATTAATATAATAATACAAATATAATAACTATCTACATGAAATGCTCTCATCCTAACTAATTTTCATTGCCACACTGCCTTACCTCTTTTAATTGGCCAATCAAATTTGCCAGCAAGCCCCTAAAAGAGGTTTCGATATTCGTCGTGACAATGTTATTCGCAATTAAGCATTTTCGATACGAATTTGCATTTTTGTGGCGTCAGTTACGTCAGAGGAAGCCGTATAAAAGACGGCTCTCGCCCAGAGTGGAGCATCAGTCAAAGCTTGTCTCGACAATCAACCACTGCACAATTATCAAGATGTTCAAACTCGTGAGTACTCCAAAGGATGCCGAGGATAACCAGTGATAAAACTGAATTCAATTCCTTTCAGGTGTTGATCTGCGCTGTTATCGGCATGGCCGTCGCCCTGCCAGTCGGTGATGAGTCGAAGGCTGAAGTCATCAGCCGCAAGGATGATGTGCGCCCCGATGGCTTTGACGCCTCCTTGGAGACCGACAACAAAATCTCGCGTTCCGAGAGCGGCGATGTTCACGGCAACATCCAGGGCAGCTTCAGCTGGGTCTCCCCCGAGGGTGAACTGATCGAGGTCAAGTATGTGGCCGATGAGAACGGATACCAGCCCAGCAGCGCCAGCCTGCCCGTTGCTCCCCCAATCCCAGAGGCCATCCAGCGCTCTCTGGAATGGATTGCTGCCCACCCACCCGCACCCGAACACTAAGAACTTTTTGAGTTGAATGGATCTGTCGAAGGCTTGATTGATCTTTCTTTAACGCGAAATAAATGAATATAATCAAAAGTTAAAGTTTGTCTATTGTTAAAGTAGTTTGAAAAAGGAAAATCGATTCGTATATAATTATGAGCTGCATACGCTGAACTTTACTGAATAATCCGACATTTCTTAAATGCAAAAGAATTGCTCTTAATCTTCTTTGGCAGAGTAAGGAGAATTGTTTTAAAGAGTAAGAAAATACTTTAGGCAAATTGTAAATTCTACGATAATTTGTGCAGAACACACAAGCATTCTAACACATAAGCACATTCATGATTCAGACTTCATTATAGTTGAAAATGTCATACCAATGCTTGAATGAAACTTTGTTAAGACAATAGACTCTTTCTACATAAAATTCTTCGTGGTTCTCTGTATCAACGATATTATTCTATAAATTCTCTTTAAACTAAAATTTTCGCTATTTCTATTCAAAACTTAAGTATGCGTAGTAAACATTTCTGAAAAATGTTTAAATAAATATTTAAGAGCAAGAATTAAGCTAAAATATTTATTTAAAGTACTCTTTTTAAATTGGATGCAAATCAGTATGTCTGCATACGCTAAATTTATTTATTTTTTGTTTATTTCTATAAAGCTTAGAGATCAAGATTGCTATATAGCTCTATATAAATATTTAAAATAATAAATAAATATTATATACTTATAAAGAGTGAAGAGAATATAAAAAGATTTTAAAATTTGAAATGATACTGTTTTTGCATGTAAGCAAATGGAATTGCTGAAAGTATTTTTAAGTATATTTAAAAAATTTATCAATACAGTGAATGTGGCAAGTTGAGGGTTAATTATTATCAATTATGATTGATTGAGGCTCGTTTCTGTAACTCTCATTTCTATATATACCTTTTTACCAGCTACATAAGTTATTTATATATTTTTAACGTATTTAGATCTTGAAAGTCGTAAATTTAAAATTAACATAATTCGAAACTAAATAAATAATTAAAGTCCGGTTTTGCCAGCACATTGTTAAATTTCTAGTTTATTGATCATATAGATATGATTTAAGCTTATTGCAAATTCAATTATGCGATCGCGGAATGATAAAAATATGATAAACTGATTTCAGGTATCTGAGTATTTGAAACGAGCTTGTATTCATTTGTAAAGCGAAATAAATATGATAAGCTTTTGAGTAAATTTAATGTATATAAAAATACTTTTACACAATATTGGCTTTACATCAAATATGATATATAATATTTTATCATATTTAATGTATCAAAAAATTTAACCTATAGACTATCGATTACCATTCAAATTGACATTTTAAATTGTCATTTAAATTTTTACTTATTTCTTATTATTTTTTTTTAATTTACGTTCATATATGTTTTTAATTTTTAATTTTGTTTTTTTTTCTAATCTGCGATTTTGTGATTTTTTTTTTATATGAGTAAGTGAGCAGTTAAAATTAAAAATTGTTTAAAAGTTATAGTTTATGAATTGAATTAAAAAGTAAATTAAAATTTCTAATATGTGTATATGTATATATTAACAATGAATATAAGTGAAACTGAGCTCTAGACTTGGAAAAGGGTATTAAGTGATCGACCATTTCATATTGAAAGTGTTCAGCAATCAAAATAATTAACGGTCTTAAATTAAATTCAACTGCTAAAATATTCGCCTGGGTTACTCCCTGCATTATAGGGCAAACGATGGCTATAGAAATAATATTATATAAATGCACAGCTTCAATTGAACAAACTGGTCCCAATGTTTATGTTCGATATTCAATTTGCATATGCGATATGCACGAACAGGTCTGATGCTTCTTTTTTTCCTGTATCTCATTACCTAGCAATGTCATTTTGGTGGAACTTGAACCGTTAATTATTTCTTCGGTTTGCCAACTTTGCCTTAATTTTGGTATATCTGCTTGGCATATGCACGCAACAGTTAATTAAGGAAATTGTGTTTAGTTGCACAGTTAGTTCTATAGAATATTTCACCAAATATGCAAAAATGGAGTCTAAACAAAATTACTGCCAGTCATTGATGTCAAGGCTCTGAAAGAGTTATGGAAATTCAGTGCTAAAATGTTAATTGCATTAAAACATTTACGGTCCGAATTTGCATATTTTTTAGCTCAGATACAGGTCTCTTCATATGCAGTTGCGTCAGAGAAAGCTGTATAAAAGACGTTGAATATCTAGAGTGGAGCATCAGTCAAAGCTTGTCTCGACAATCAACCACTGCACAATTATCAAGATGTTCAAACTCGTGAGTACTCCAAAGGATACAAAGGACACCCAGTGATAAAACTGAATTCTATTCCTTCTAGGTGTTGATCTGCGCTGTTATCGGCATGGCCGTTGCCCTGCCAGTCGGTGATGAGTCGAAGGCTGAAGTCCTTAGCCGCAAGGACGATGTGCGCCCCGATGGCTTTGACGCCTCTTTGGAGACCGACAACCACATCTCGCGTTCCGAGAGCGGCGATGTTCATGGCAACATCCACGGCAGCTTCAGCTGGATCTCCCCCGAGGGTGAGGTGATCGAGGTCAAGTATGTGGCCGATGAGAACGGATACCAGCCCAGCAGCGCCAGCCTGCCCGTTGCTCCCCCAATCCCAGAGGCCATTAAGCGCTCTCTGGAATGGATTGCTGCCAACCCACCCGCACCTGACCGCAAGAACTAAGTCAATTGATCGAATCCTGTAATAGACGTCTATCGAAATTCATAGCAATTAAAAAGCATTAATCAAAAATCAATATTTTTGTTTGAATTATGAGGAACCTTTGCAAATTTCAAGAAAACCAGAGGCATTTAAATAATACTTTTTTTTTATGATACCAATGGCTTTGAGTACATCATTTTGCATATTGATCGTCACTATACTAATATTTTTGATATACCATAATTGAGGAACTTAGGTTTACATCTATCATATCAAAATCATTTCTACAGATTTATTTATATTTAAATATACATTTTTTTTTTTTATTTATTTGTATATTTATTTTATTTTATACAAAAATATATATATATATTATATTATTATTTAAATTATTTTTTTTATTATATATATATATATATATTAGTTTTGTTTTTTTTTTTTTTTATATATAATTTTCATTAATTAATTTTATTTTTATTTTGAACCCAGTTTTAAATATATTTATACTATATTGGTTATTTTAAATTAACTATAAAGTTCTTGACCTGTATTATGTATATTTCTACAGATTTAATTCGATTTTTTTATGGTGTTGATCAATCATATATATCATCTTGTCACTCTCTACTCTTTTAGTAAAACAGATATGTACAGTTGCCATTATTTACAGATAAAACAAACTGACGAATTAGGAATTATGAAGAATAAATCCAGAATACATCCACTTATATTCATATTGTAATACATTCCCAATAGTTAGCCTCTGTAATATATTGAACTTAAATTCTTTCTATGCGCATAATAAGATCGCAGCAATTCCATAGACTTTTCTGATCAAGCGACTTATTGATTTTTATGAAATAGGAACAGTTTATTCCATCTGGCCTCGCTTAACTAAAAACACGACCGACCTCCTCGAGCTCCAAACTCAAAGTGTTCTTATTAAGACGACATAAATAGAGAGCAGGAGAAATTTAAATCTTACCGTTCCCAAAAGAGTTTGTAACTCTCTTAAATGGAAATTCTCTTAAATTCAAATATTCAAATGAGTAAACGGGTCCTATAAATAGTACAAGTTAGATTAAAGTTCATCAAAATTTTAAATTTCCTCCAATATAAACTCATTCATATGACCTTGGCAACGAGAGTAAAAATCCTGATTTTAGGTATTTTTTAAGAAGTTTTAAATTTCTTTTGGCTTAAAACAAGTTTCGTGCTGATGAACTGGTTCTTTTTGCACGAGACCAAATCATGATCAATAGTAGGTAATCATTCTTAAACCCAAAAAAAAGCAGGCAATGCTGAAGATTATTGCATAAGATAACTGATGATAGCACATACTATAAACTGTGATTATTCTGCACAGGTGCTATATTTTATGTTGCAGAGAAAGCTGTATAAAAGACGTTGACAGACTGAAGTGGAGCATCAGTTAAAGCTCGTCTCGACATCCAACAACTGCACTATAAACAAAATGTTCAAAATTGTGAGTACTTCAAAGGACACTAAGGATGAACCAAGGATTAACCAAGGATATAACTGAATTGAACTCCTTTTAGGTGTTGATCTGCGCTGTTATCGGCATGGCCGCCGCCGTGGGAATCGTAGTCAGCGATGAGTCGAAGGCCGAAGTGCTGAGCCGCCAGGAGGATGTGCGCCCAGATGGATTTGAAGCCTTGTTGGAGACCAGCAACTCCATCAGTCGGAAGGAGAGCGGCGATGAGAAGGGCAATATCCAGGGCGTGTTCAGCTGGGTTTCACCCGAGGGCGAGAAGATCGAAGTGAGCTATGTGGCCGATGAAAACGGATACCAGCCGAAGAGCGATTCTCTGCCCACTCCTCCCCCAATCCCAGATGAAATCGAGCGTGCTCTGAAATGGATTGCTGCCAACCCACCCGCCCCTGACAGCAAGAACTAAGGCTACCAAAAACAAACTGGTTGATTTGATCCTATAACAGACATATATCTCGAGTAATATTAGAATATATATTATTCAGATATGTCGCAAACATATGTATTATAAGAATTAATGAAAATTGTATATAAAATCTGCAAACAGAAATTTAGCAATATTCTGCAAAGCATTTAATAAAATGTTATCCAAAGTCTGGACTGAATGACAATATTAAAGCGTTCAATTGGGAAATTTTATCAGCTTCCGCCTTTATTCTTATAATTTTAAGTCAATTTAAGGAAATTTATATTTGATTCAAGCAACTTTCGGAAACTGAGAATAGAAATCTGGCTCTTACAACACTAAAAACAATTTCCTATTTATGCCTATATGATTTAGCTCTACTATATGCATATAATATTATCAATCTAGATAAAATTACAGAGCTGTCGACTCACGTGCAGCAATGAAACGAAGGCGAGCTTCTCATTTGTGCCCGAACTATGAGCCCGACGTTCTGTGAGAGCGTCAGAATTATGGAAAGAAAGAGAGAAAATAAAGCGAATGTACAGTAGAGTTCGGTTAAAACGACTCCGCGACGAAAATTTTAATCCTCACACAAGCTTATATGAGCAAACTTATACGGTTAATGCGTCTCCCGGGTATACCTACGGTCCTTGTGCGTCATTATAGCTGGACTCTACTGTATATAACTTTTCCATAAAATATATTTATATTTTAAACAGTTTTACTCTCGAATAAAATTTATAATTAAATAAAAGTAAAGAAATATAGTTTTTGTTGTTGACGAATTTAAGTTCTAATGGATTTGATAGATCGAGCATTATAAGAGTTCTATGGACTCAACTTTCTAATCGTATGAAGTATACAGTATATTCCATATGGAGGTTACCCTATAAGTAAGGCATAAGTAAGGCCCTATATAATAAATTATATAGTTTTACAGAAACAATCACACTTTATGGTTTTGATGTCTAGCCCATTTACTATTGAAAAATTTTATAATAATTTCTCTATATCAAAAACACTTCGAAGTGATTTTAATTTCGAAATCTTAATTTCCGGCATTGTTTAAGAAATTCTATTAAATCATTTTTATTTATTTATTTACTTATTTTATTTATTTTTTATTCTTTTGATTTTCTCTTTATCAAAAACACTTCGATGTGATTTTAATATCGTAATCTTGATTTGTGGCATTTTTTAAGAAATTTTTAAAATAATTTCGTTTGATTTGAAACAAGTTTCGTGCAGATGAACTCGTTCTTTTTGCACGAGATCAAAGCATGATCAATACTAAGCAATTGTGCCTAATATCGACAAATAGCTCGCAATGCTGAAGATTATTGCATAAGCCACAATTTCATTCACATAAACTGATTCTCTACAGGTATTCGATTTTATGCTGCAGAGAAAGCTGTATAAAAGACGTTGGCAAACTTAAGTGGAGCATCAGTCAAAGCTCGTCTCGACATCCAACAACTGTACTATTATCAAAATGTTCAAACTTGTGAGTACTGCGTAGGACACCAAGGATATAAGTTATAACTGAGTTGAACTCCTTTTAGGTGTTGATCTGCGCTGTTATCGGCATGGCCGCCGCTGTGGGAATCGTTGTTAGCGATGATTCGAAGGCCGAAGTGCTGAGCCGCAAGGAGGATGTACGCCCAGATGGATTTGAGGCCTTGTTGGAGACCAGCAACTCTATCAGTCGGAAGGAGAGCGGCGATGAGAAGGGCAATATCCAGGGCGTCTTCGGCTGGGTCTCCCCCGAGGGCGTGAAGGTCGAAGTGAGCTATGTGGCTGATGAGAACGGATACCAGCCCAAGAGCGATTCTCTGCCCACTCCTCCCCCAATCCCAGATGAAATCGAGCGTGCTCTGAAATGGATTGCTGCCAACCCACCCGCACCTGGTAGCAAAATCTAAAGCTAAAGCAAAAACTGAAATGATTGATCTGATCCTGCAATAGACATTTATCGTAAATAGTATAAGAATATATTATTATACAGATATGTCGCAAAATGTATAATTGATTGAAATAATATAAAACCTGCACCCAATATAAACAAATTTGTCAATATTCAGTAGAGACAGCACTTCAAAACGAAATAAATGTCTGGTTATATTTATTTCTTAATTAGAGATTAGAGCTAATATAAGAAATACAAGACTATATTAAAACCTAAGCAGTGGAAATTAGGGCTTTCGGCTTTATATGGTTCATATAAATTTAATTTAATTGATGTAAATTTAACACACTATATATTTTGTGAAGGAACTTTACCTGCATAACTTGACTTCCGACTTTCTTGAGTGTTTATATAATATTTTATATTTATAAGCAGTAAGCACAATTAGCGAAAAGAGGGAGAGAGTGTTCAGAATGAGAGTGAGCACAAGAACAGTGGGCATAATGAGAGCCACATTCCTACTCATCCAACTCCAACATTAAATGTTGCTCTAACAAAAATGATTTTTAATTAATATATATTGCATTTTAATAACCTGAGCATTAAGCTCACTTTATTGTTCGTACTGAATTCTATATATGTTTGTATGTATGTATTTAGACAATTTTCAAAGCAGTTAATTCACGAGAGTCTGCATTAATCGAACGAAAGTGAATTTCTGATTTGTGCTCGATCTGTGAGCGCTCGTTTGGCATAATGAAGCCGATGAGCTCTGAGAGACAGAAGCATATAAAAAAGGAAGAGCAAACGAATGACCAAAATCTTACCTCTGTAATCTTTACAAACATAAACTCTCTTACAGAGCTAATTTATTCCAACTGCCGCCCTTGAATTATATTATTTCATTAAATTATAATTTTTTTATATTTTAGAGGCTATAAATAATTTAAAATTGAGACTAAGCTAATATTGAACGCTGGCAACTGGAGAAGTAGAACAAATATTTTTTATTTATTTTTTGCTCATGAAATATTTAAGGTTTAATGAAGAGCGTTGAGGGATCGAAAAGTGTGAGGACTTTAAATTGGTATCGAAAGTAATTAATATATGTAAGTATGTATATATATTTATATTTTTTTTATACGCAGAAAGAAGAGTCTATGGAAAATTCAGAGTAAAAAGTAAATTTAGGTTTGATTTAGTTAAATAAAAAAACATATAATTTCCTATTTTAAGACCAATTAGGCAATTAGGCAATCCAGACTTGGAAGTACTTTTTTGTTTTTTTAGAAATTTTTAAAAAATAATTTCTTTTGTGTTGAAACAAGTTTCATAAAGATGAACTCGTTCTTTTTAGACGTCATAAAAGCATTCGCATTAGTAGGCGGTTATTGCCTATACTGTTACTGTCTGTATAAGCCCAAAATGCGTATGAAATAATGTAGATGATTGCATAAGATTGAAATTCATTCATATTAATTGAAATTACCAAAATGCTATGATTCTTCAGGTAGAATATGCTGCAGAGCAATCTGTATAAAAGGCTGAGCACATCTGGAGTGAAGCATCAGTCAAAGCTTGTCACGACAATCAGCAACTGCACCAACAATCATCAAAATGTTCAAACTTGTGAGTACTCCAAAGGATGCCAAGGATAACCAGTGATAAAACTGAGTTAAATTCCTTTCAGGTGTTGATCTGCGCTGTTATCGGCATGGCCGTCGCCCTGCCAGTCAGTGATGAGTCGAAGGCTCAGGTTATCAGCCGCAAGGATGATGTGCGCGCCGATGGCTTTGACGCCTCCTTGGAGACTGACAACAAGATCTCGCGCGCCGAGAGCGGCGACGAGAAGGGCAACATCCACGGCAGCTTCAGCTGGGTCTCCCCCGAGGGTGAACTGATCGAGGTCAAGTATGTGGCCGATGAGAACGGATACCAGCCCGTCAGCGCCAGCCTGCCCGTTGCTCCCCCAATCCCAGAGGCCATCCAGCGCTCTCTGGAATGGATTGCTGTCAACGCGCCCAAACTTGACCGCAAGAACTAACTTAGTTGATTGAATCCTGTAACCGACATCATTCGAAAATGATATGGTGATGACAAAACTGCCAATTCTTTCCATTGTAAAAAAAAAAACAACAACTGTTAAAAAATACTTAAAGCAACCAGCAAAAATAAAATGCTCTTGAATATATTCACCTGGTCAATATCTATTTATCATATTATATATTCTTCTTATTCACAGCTGTCCTTAATGGCATCCCAAAAAGGATAAGAACCGTTAAGTATGGGATAATATAATCAGCATATAATAAATTATTATTAGTTAACCTAATTTAAAAAATAACTAAATTCTTTCTCTTTTATTTTAGTTTAAGAAATATTAATTATTTATTTATATCAATTCAATTAATATGTAATATTTTTTCTTTTATTTTAGTTAAGTTAAATACTTGAGAAATAATTTGTTTTTATTTCATTTGAATTAACAAATAATTTCAGAACTCTCTTAAATATTTCAATTTAATAAATAAAAAAAATATATATATATATATTTTTTTTTTTCATTTAAAAAATAATAATTGAATATAATTCTATAATATTTATATTGAGTCAATATACGCTATGATACCCATTGGATATGGATATGGACTCATTGGATATATATTTATATCTCTCTACACTCTCCATTTGCCATTGAAGAATTCTTATTCCACTATTTGACTCTATATGGAGAAATTGAGGGAGCTTGTCTGGTCTTACAATTTAGAATTCCATTTAGTATCCTCATATGCACTCCAAGAACCCGCCAGTCATATATTCCCAATCATATTCTCCCGACAACGTACAATTAATGACTCCTTAGTTTTATTTAATTAATTAGTTAATTTTGGCTGCGAAATTAGCATATTTGATACAGAGGAACAGGTCTGAGTAGCTAGTATAAAAGCAACGTCTAGCTGGCGTGGATCATCAGTAAACGTATTTTACGCTTAGCAGCTACCTCACTCGAAATGTTCAAATATGTGAGTATATGAGAGGATGCTAAGGATGTTTATGCTTAAACGCAAATCATATTCAACTGATCATCTTTCAGCTGCTGGTTGTCGCTCTTATTGGCCTGGTTGCCACTGTGGACCTCGATGAGAAGGCTGAGACACTTGAGCGCAAAGACGATGTGCGTCCCGATGGCTTTAATATCCTTCTTAAGACCAGCAATGGCATTGAGATCGTGCAGAGCGGAGATGAGCATGGCAATTCAAAGGGCACCTTCAGCTGGGTCTCGCCCGAAGGTGTGCCCGTCTCTCTAACGTATGTGGCCGATGAGAACGGCTATCAGCCCCAGAGTGACCTGCTGCCCACACCTCCCCCAATCCCGGCTGAGATCCAGCGCGCTCTTGAGTGGATCGCTGCGCATCCCAGCAAGGAACAACTCTAATAGAAATTATCAGCCATAGAGCCTCTCTCTAATTATTTCATGCTCACGTAGCAGACGTTAAGCGTTAAATAAAAAATTCACATTCCAGTTCTTGAAATCTTTTCTGAACATCGAAGGTTATTCTAAGAAGTCAGTGGGTCACGCTCCAGTCTTTTCAGCTCACGCATCGCGACATTCGTTAGCATGCGATAAATATTCTAATGAATCCATAAAAAAAAAAACTTTCGCTAACTGTATTCTAAGCTAATCAAGCGACAACGAGTTTTCGAAATCTCAATCTCAATTTCGCTTTCGATTTGCATAACATTCGTGAATAATAAAAACAAATAAGTTGCCTCCAGTAGCCGAAGCGAAGCGTCAAGGTTAAGGCCAGCTCGCCAGCTTGCAAACTGTATTTAATTTCAGATACACAGAAATATTATATGCTGGCAGAGCTCAGCTAAGCTCAATTGTTGCAATATTCTATATTTATATAGGGTTCAATGTTTGCTTTACGATCAATAGGCTATTTAGTTGTCAGTTTCACCTTACAACTAGTAATTAGCTGCAATCGTTCTATTAAGGCTGATTACTCTATTAATAACAGAAATTATTTTAATTGTTTAAATCAGCTATATTGTAGTAAAATGACAATAGCATAAATAATTGACAAACAATTCACTCTCATTGATTATAATTTATTTCTGTTGTTTTCAGATAATTTAGGAATAAAATTCAATTCTTTGAAAAATGAAAAAAAAAAAAAAAAAGTTTCTTTTATTCGTTTGAATTAATTTCAAATTGTTTATATTTAGCAGAGTTAAGCTGGCTTGATAAAGACAAAATATTCATACTTTGTGAATATATTAATAATATTATTCTGATTCTCTGTGTTTTTGAAAAAAGAAATGCATTGCAAGCAACTATTCGACAATTTGTATACAGTCGAGTCCCAAAAATTTGAAAGAGTCAAGTGGATTAGTTTTTTTTTTTTTTTTTTCGAATTACACAGAAGTTTAAATTATCGGGAACGAATTTTGTTAAGGGAATTTAATTGAGTTCGATTTATTGCTATTTCTGATATAGCGAGGTACAAATCGAGACTCGACTGTATTTTTTTTTTATATGTCTAGAACAAAAGTTCAGCAGACTCATATTATTTTTATACCCTGAACCCATTTTCAATTAAATTTATATACCATTCTGAAGATATTTTATAGATCTCAAGCGACGATCAAAGCCTCGACAACTAAAGTTAAATTGATGTACAAAATACTCAGATTTGATAAAACATTGAAAAACATTTTGAAACAGATAAGCGTGTGCCAGAGATAAAAGGCCATTATCCCTAGATAATAAGCCAGAATATTAGCTACGCTAAGCCTTGACATGGACTGCTGAACCGGACTAGGGCTAATAAGTCATACTAGGGGCTAAATTAGGTCTTGATATAAATATGTGTGTAAGCCAAGAATGACATTTTTATCCTTTTTTCTCGGTTTTTATGTTCTCTTTTATATCTATTTCTTCTTGTTTCATCTCTATTCATATCTACCAGCTCCTTTCTTTTTTTATTACCCTCATTCCATTTCCATTCTTTTCTCTTCCCATCTCGTTGTGTCTCGTTTTTTGACTCTAGCTCTTTTTTAGCTATTCCATTCTTATTCTTGCTTTTATGTTTAATTTTTCTTAACCTAAAATCTCTCATTTGCTGAGATTCATATATGCGATTACAGAATAAATGCAGTTTATAACCTATAAGATGTGTATATCCTTACAGCACTACACTCGCATTAACAAAACATTATACCCTAAATTCCCATTCTCAGGACATCATCATCTTTCTTAATGCTCACAAACGTACAAGACTCATACACAGCGAAGAGACGCATTTAACATTTGCACGAATCATATAACAAACTTGATTCGAGCAGGTAAACAAGAGGTTTTTTTTCTGCTCTTGCACATACATAAACTGCTACGGATGACAGCAGCAACCAGATTCCAGACTGAATGCCAAAAGGCGCTAACAACACGATTAAATCGAACATATTAATAATTGTACTTTCGGGGATAGCAACAAGAAAACCAGACTTTTAATTAACATCGCTAAAACCAGTCGGATCATATAGATATGTACGAAATCATAAAATAAAAAAAAAAAATAAAAATAAAAATAAATAAAAATAAAACATCGTATGGCCAATTAAACTCCAAAGAGCTCTGACAATCGATGTTGACCTCTGACATTTCCACTTACCGTCTGGAGTGAAGCCCAACTGCAGTAGGTTGCCGACAATTGGAAAGGGTCTTGGGCCAGGAAACTGTCCACTGAGGAGCTGGTACAGGCGAGCATTTCTTCGCGCCAGCAGAATATAACACAGAACAGCTGCAACACCGAGCGCAACTACGTAAAGCATTTTGACATGAACAGCGATACGAGATAACTGAATGGACACTGCCTCAACAATATGCGTTCGACCTATATGCTGGTGCCTATCAATAGCAAATAGAGTCGACCGACTGCGATTACAGCGATGAGATTAACAGTGCCCAGAGTCAGTTGGCTCCCACTGCGAGATGCTCTGCTCTGAATGGGGGCAAATGCATTCTCACTCCAATCATGAGCAGCTACTCTATGACACTATATACTCCCTTCCTATCAGAAACAGTGTATTTGTGTTCAACAATAAAGTTGCAGCAATCTGAGTGTTTCTCATATAATTATAATTACTCTATTCTATTTCAATATGACTTATTTGATCATAGCTATACACGGATTTAGATCAAGTTTGACTCGGACACAGCGTGTTCCATTTGATTGACGGACGTGTTCTCATTAGTGGAAGTCCGTGAGCAGCTTAGCAGCTATTTTTACTTTAAACTAGTTGCGATATTTAATACTTTAGTTGTTTTGATCGTCTTTTGTTTACTCTGCTTTAATTTTAAGCAAATACAAACGAAGGTGCTAACAACTAAAGCGACATAACAAAGCTTAGAAATATTTGATCTCTTTTCATTTGAAATAATCCTTTTAGTTAACTCAATGAGAGTTAATCTATGCCGCAAATCCCAGTTAAATAATTATGTAAGTTTCAGTCTGGCTTAATAAAGTGCTTTGGCAACATTGTTCGACGCAGCAACAGCATAAAATTCAATTAGGTAATTGCTGCTCAGCAGCGTTACCTGTCTGACTGACACCTGCCAGAAGGCTGAAGCCTGCTAGGCATTGTGTGTGTGTGTGTGTGAGTGCGTGTGTGGCTGTCTACATATGTGTATTCAGATTATCTGTAACCCCTCTGGATTCAAAACGTGCACGTACCACAGCTTCCCACGATAATATGTGCAATTTCCTTTAACGAAAATTATTCTGTTGTCAAAAAGCTGACAGCATCTGAATTTTCAGTATTTCTTCTACTGTAGTAGTTCTGCTGATGTATTTAAATTTTTCAATTTTCTATTAGGTTAGTTTATTTTTTGAAGACCAAGTTCCCATTAAAATGTCGTGTTTATATTCATAAATATTATAGGAATAGTGTGGGTGTTGATGGTGATAATTTAACTTAATAAATATTTTTAAAATATATTTTTATTAATTAATATTAATTGATACTTATTAATATAAAGTATTAAGGCAGTTGGCAATTAACTGTATACTCTGAAACTTTTGCAAATGGGACTTTGGTTAATCTTAAGCAATTCGATTACCAGTCTTTATGAGCCCTATTCCTAATCGCTTCAGTTTTCACAGAGATAAATATACTCGGGATTGCACTGAATATAACATTAAATAGAATACCATTTCACTTCGTATTTTAAATTTTGTTGTTTTATTCACGCACCGATAATACAATAATGCAAAAACTAAATAAATTGAAATAATTGTGTAACAAAACTATAAATAGGCAAATGAATCTACATTGCACTTTATTTTCCCATCCGAAAAATCTTTTTCAATATATCAAAGTATAATTCCTAACGTGTAAATAAATATGTATGTAATATTTAGGCTAAATAATATTCTCCAATTAAAATAAGCCCCAAATATATTTCACAGAATATGTTTTGTCTGAGCAATAAATGAGAGTAATCAACGACCAACGTCAGTCATTAGCGCAATGAATCATTTCATTGCCCTGAAATATTAGAGTAATTGCAATAAAATGAAATACATCTAGATGTATGTGTGTGTAGCATGCATTGTTTGCTTCCTTTAGAGCGACGATGGCCTATTAGGCCTCAAATTAATTGTTTCGCACACAATTTTGATGGATTCACGTCAATTATGACTATGCCAGAGGCTGTGCTGCCATGGCCAATAGGTTCTCTGTGCCAATTAGCCACGAATCACTGCGGTGCGTGCAGCTTAGATTCGTGTGTGGAGCGTATTGTTGGTCGAAATTAAATGTTCTAATATGGGCAGGAGCACGAAAACAAATAACATTGAATAACTGCTGAGCACACACACATACACACACAAGCACACATTTATCAAAAAAAGAAAACAAAAACAAGTTGCAATATTTCAGCTATTTCATTTGCAATTTCATGAACTTTGTTCTTATTTTTATTTGTTATTTATTTAGCGATAATTTTAATGACTAATAAATGGGTTTCAGAACGTTTTTAGAGTGCTGCTGCTGCTGCTGCTGCTGCTGAAGTCTATAAATGAGTTGCATTTGCCATTCCATGCCGAACGTGTCAGTGATCAACTACCGCGCGGCGCCGCATTGGGCCTCGGCAGTTTGCTGGGCACGCGGCCGGCCTGCACTCACTTGCTGAACTTGAGCCCAACTGCAAGAGTAAATTTTAAACAATGAATATATAAATAATATATATATCAACATAAATAATATTCATTTCAACACGCACCGGCACTGCTTCGTGGATTCTTCATTTTGGAGGGCTTCTTGCGCACCTCCGATTGGCTCATGCTGCTGCTGCCGCTGGTGCCCGGGCCATGTGTGTCCACCTGCATGCTCTCATCGCTGTCGGAGGCCTGGCTCTTGAGCACCTTTTTCAAATTGATGAGCTGCTCGAATGGAGGGGCTTGCTTAGCACAGAGTGGCCAATAATCAAAGCCTTCAGTTCACTTACCTCCTGCTCAATGC